TGCAAGAGCAGTCAGTGCTCTTAACCACTGAGCCATCTCTCCAGCCCCGCTTTTTTTTTATTTTTATTTTTTCTTTCCAATACTGGGAATTGAACCCAAGACTTTGTGCATGTCAGGCAAGTACTCTACCACTGAGCTACACTCCCAGCCTTCTCTGCTTTTTCTTCTGTCTTAGTCCTTAACAAATCTATTTGGGAAGCTGAGATGAGAGGATTACAGGTTTGAGGTGAGCCTGGACAACTCAGTGAAATTCCCATCTCAGAATAAAAAAAGACTGGGCACAAAGCTCAGTAGTAGAATACTTGCTTGAATGTTTGAGAATTTGTGTTTAATCTCCAGAACCAGAAGGGGAAAAGGTAGATTATTTCTCAGAGTCCTAGAGGCTGAGGAGTCCATGGTTGAGAGGCCATGTCTGCAAGGACCTTTTTGCTCAGGCAGCTTATGGCAGAAAGAGGGGAAAGAAGTCAAGCCTATCTCTTATCAGGAGTCCTCTGCATTAGTGCACTCAAGGACAGACCTCACCACTTTTTAAAGATCTCTTTGTGCTGACCAGATGGCTCATCAGGTAAAGGTATCTGCCACCGAGCCTGATCTGCACTCGAGCCCCAGAACCCACATGGTGGAAGGAGAACACCAAGTCCTGCAAGTTGTCCTCTGACCTCTACGCCTGTGTCATGGCATGTGTGTACAAGTGCACATAAATATGCACATGCGGCATAAATGAATGTTCGAAACAAAGGTCCCATCTCTCTTTTTTTAAATATTTTATTTATTATCTTTTTATTTTATGTTGTATGAGTGTATTGCCTGCATGGGTGCACCCATGTTGTGCAATGCCTCGGAGGTCAGAAGAGGGGTTCAGAACTGGAACTGGAGTTAAGGACGGTTCATAGCCGCCATGTGGGTGCTGGGAATCGAACCCAGGTCCTCTGCAAGACTAGTCAGTGCTCTTAACCGCTGAGCCATCTCTCCAGCCCCAAAGGTCCCATCTCCTAAACACTGTTGCATTGTGGATTAAACTTCCATGCCAGAGACATTGAGGACTTAAGGAAGCAAGATACGGGATTTGACCTGGAACCCAGGAAAAAGATAGAAGATTGTGAAATGTTACTGGGATGAGAAGCTGAGGGCATTGCACCAATAACACGGACAGAGAAGGGGTAGGAGTGGAAGGACTGGCCTTTGGATAGGTTGAAAGAACTGGACTGATAGTTCAAGTCCAATCTATGAAGGGCCTTGAAAGATCCCTCAGAAGCTTGGGTCCATTGGCAGTGAGGAACCCGGCCTTGTCCTTTTCCACTGTGGGTCATATCCTTGGCCAGTAACCCCAGAACTGGGATTTCAAGCAGCCTCCAAGAACATAAGCATTTCCATGCATTCCAGGATTCTGTGAGAGGGGCAGATTCTGCCCAGTGTGTGCTCAGTATGCTAAGGCCAGTCAGCCTCCCCCATCCCTGTTGAGGCTTGTGTTTGGTCCACTCCCTGTTTGGCTGCTATCCTGCCCTGAGAGTAGGGCAGTGGGGAGTGATGGCCATACTCTGTCTCCCAGAGTCCAGATGCCCATCCAGCCCCCAGGCAAAGAAACAGAAGAGATGGAGGCAGAAGCTGATTCAGCTGCTGAGATGAATGGGGAAGAGGATGAGAGTGAAGAAGAACGGAGCGGCAGTCAGACTGAGTCAGAGGAGGAGAGTTCAGGTGAGCCCCTGAGCACACAGCTCGCACACAGCACAGCTACCTGCCTCTGCATACACACACACACACACACGACAGCTGCCTGCCTCTGCATAACACACACACACACACACACACACACACACACACACACACACGACAGCTGCCTGCCTCTGCAGAGCTGGCCTTAATTGATCTCTTGTCTCAGAGATGGATGATGAGGATTATGAACGGCGCCGCAGCGAGTGTGTCAGTGAGATGCTGGACCTGGAGAAGCAGTTTTCAGAGCTGAAGGAGAAGTGAGCACATGGGTGCTGGGGTTGGCCTTGGGCAGGTACAGTTGCTCAGAGTGATGAGCACCGAGCTGGCCATACGGGGTGTTTGGCAGGCCTTTACCTAAGAGGATGGGTGAGCACTGCAGGAGCCAGTGGTGCACAGCTGCCTTTCTGCCTCCAGGTTGTTCAGGGAGCGGCTGAGCCAGCTGCGCTTGCGGCTGGAGGAAGTGGGGGCTGAGAGAGCCCCAGAATACACAGAGCCTCTCGGGGGACTGCAGCAGAGCCTCAAGATCCGCATTCAGGTGGCAGGTCTGTGGCTGCCCTGTTCTCCCAGAACTCACAGCTCTTTGTCCCCATCTACTCTTGTCCCTGCCCTGCCTCACCTGGTCTTGTGGCCTTCCTTTGGGGGGACATTGGGATCCCTGGAGAAGCAGGGCTTCTTTCTCCCTTTGTAGGAATCTACAAGGGCTTCTGTCTGGATGTGATCAGGAATAAGTATGAGTGTGAGCTGCAGGGAGCCAAGCAGCACTTGGAGGTGAGCTGACAGGCCAGGAGGTGGGCAAGACCGAGGTCCATGGTCCCCTGGCTGAGTGGCTGTCCCCCCCACCCCACAGAGTGAGAAGCTGCTGCTGTATGATGCACTGCTTGGGGAGCTGCAGGAGCGGATCCAGAGACTGGAGGAGGACCGCCAGAGCCTGGACATCAGCTCTGGTGAGGCGAGAGCCCCACCACCTTCTGGCTCCCCCAACTGCATGAGGAGAGTCAAACAGCTCACTTCTTGGGGTCCCTGTGAGGGCTGAATGAGACCTCAGGAAACTGCCTAGTTCAGTGCTCCACACACAGTGGGGATTTGAGCAGGGTTGGTCCACTGTCCTCTCCCCTTCAGAATAGGAGGTGTCCGTGTGATACACAGACACATATGAAACCACAGTCCCTCTATGGCATGTGTGTTCATGTGGGGTCTAGAAATTATCTTTATTCCACTGTCTACTAAGCAAAGGAAAAAACTTGAGACTCAACTGAAAAGAACAGTGGCCTCTTTAGCCTTACTCCGCTGTGCAGTCAGGGCCTGAGAAGCCCTGGGAGGCTGCCAGGCCAAAGTCCAGGGTTGGAGCCACTGCCCTGGGTGGTGATGGGGAAGGAAGGGGGAGGCCATGGTGGGGCAGAGGCTACAGGGCTAGGAGTGGCCTGTGGGTCACTGCCCTGACCTTGACTCTCTCAGAGTGGTGGGATGACAAACTACATGCCAGAGGCAGCTCGAAGACCTGGGACTCTTTACCGCCCAGCAAGAGGAAGAAGGCACCTCTTGTTTCCGGTATCCTTCCACTCAAGGTCACCTGAAACTGAGCAGGACATCAGGGCAGGCCCTGGACTCAGGAAGGTTAGCAGAGTTGTCTGGGACAGAGACTAGACACATTCATTGTCATTTGGTGTCATGTGAAAATGCCTAGCTGTCAGGAGTGTCCTCCAAGGTCCTAGGTCCCCCTCCCCCTGGGCTCAGTAGACCCCAAAGAAACAAAGATTAGCTCACTGTCTCCCAGTAACTTCTTGACTGAGGATCAGCCTTTGAGACTTCTGGCTTTCCCTCGATGGCTGGTGTCAGCCCCACAGAGTCCTGGGCTTTCCCACCCCAGCCTTGCACACCTCCTCTGGGATCTGTTCTGCTCAGTGCCTTGCAGATACTGTCTCTGGAGTCTCTCCTGTTGTCTTCCATGCCTGTGGTTCTCTGTACCCTGATGTATCCCAAAGGGGATTTGCTGCCTTGACCCTCCTACACTGCACAGCATAGCACTGAGCTTTCTTCCTTTCAGCACAGTGTCAGGAGAGAGGGACCTGAAAAGTGACCTCTTGAATCATGGGGGTAAAGGTGGGCGATTTCAGGTACAGCATAGTGTGGTATCAAATGAGAAGCCAGGATCCACTTTGAGGTGGGGAAGGGTCTAGTGAGCCAGTTAGTAACAGAGCCAGGCAGAACAGGAGCAGCAGGGTCCCTGAGGGTCAGGTGGGCCTTGATCAACTCACCTGGAATAAGGGTGGGGGTAAGTGAGGGAAATGGGGAGGCTTTAGTGTCCAACACTGTGAGCCCACCTCAAGAACTAGGGTTCCTGGGGCAGGAGGAGGAGCCTGAATTAGGCCCAGGATTTTGGCACCCCCTCTACACTGTCCATGTGCTACCCCTCCCAAGTGTTGTATGGATGACACTGCCTCCTCTGGCATCCCAGTGGAGCCCTGCTGTCTGTGTCATGTCCGTGTCCGTCCCCCCCCATTATCCTGCTTCCTTGACCCCTGTGCAGGCCCATACATTGTATACATGCTGCAGGAGATCGACATCCTGGAGGACTGGACAGCTATCAAAAAGGTAAGTCCACTGCTGCTGCTTGTGCCCATCCTGCTCTGGGGAAAGCAGTGGTGCAGGTGTGTGTGTCCCCCCGTCCCCACCCCACCCCCGTATCTCAAGACACCTGGGGAGCTTTCTGCCTCAGCCCAGGTGCCCTGACACTGCAAGCTCGTGGCAGCCTGGAGGAGGGCACATTGTTCATGTCACTCTTGTTCCGAAACAAGTTTTGTGGAAGAGAGGGAGGGAGGGAACAAGAGACACCTTGGAGCTTGGCCTAGAAAAGAACTTACTGCAACTGCATGCAGCTTGACTCAGCAGCCCTCACCCAGCAGAGGCGGGAGGTGGGTTAGGGCAGAATCAGCAAAGTAAAGGTGAGCTCTGAGGGGCCTTTTCTTCTCATCACCCAGGCCAGGGCAGCAGTGTCCCCTCAGAAGAGAAAAGCAGATGGTAAGAAGCACAGGTGGCCCTGTCGGTATCGGGAGCCTGATCTCAGTCTGAGGGTTTTATGGGAGTTTGGGGAGTAGGATCTACACTGGGGCAGATCTGGGTGGATGGGAATGTAACTCAGTGGTAGAATACATCTAACATGGGAAAGACCCCTGGGTTTTAACCCCAGGACCATGAAAAGAAAAAAAAAGTGGACTAGAGTCCCCAGCTGGGGTGGGTCAGAGCGGGCAGGAAGGATGGACCCTGTGGGTGAGAGCCACCAGAACATGGATCTTTCCTCAGCGCCCTCCAGGAAGTGGCTGCCTCCCTCTTGGTTCAGCTTCCTGTCACTAATTGTCCCTTCCCATGTACCCTAGGACCATGATCCCGCTGTTCACAGCCAGAGGGTCCTTGGAGTAACTGGCACCACACCCAGGACTTAGATTTTTCTGCAAAGGCAGGGGCTGCCCGGTGGCTCTCCAGTGTCACTGCTGCCCCCTGCCTTCAGCTATCACTGACCTGGAGCCCTTTTGTCCTCCTTGGGCCTGCATTTCTATGGCCCTGGAGCTGACCTGGCCAAACAAGACTGTTGACTCCATCCCCGACCAGCCCACCACCTCCCCCTCTCAAAGAGTAGCTTCCTCAGTTTCCCCCGACAAAAAGGATGGGCCTTGTCTGAAGCCAAAGCAACAGTCCTCCTGACCTTTGACCCTGGCCCTAGCCACTGAGCCAGGGAGCAGGTTCCTACTGCAGGAGGAGCTCTTGAGCCAGAAACAACTTGTTGGGGTCCTGCCGGACCAGACTGGAGCTGGAGGTTACATCTGGGCTCCCCAGATTTTCTCAGGGCCATTCCTGGCATCTGCCTCCTCCCAGATTGCAAAGACTGGAATAAAACATTTCCTGGGACCGTGACATGATCCATATGTGTCTGATGTACTTGACAAGGGAATGAAGGCGTCTGTGGGGAACATTTGAACCTCCTCTGGGGTCCCTGTAGTTTGGGGCATTCTGGCTTCTGCCTGGGAATGGGAGGCAGGGCCCAGAGCAGCACATGAAGCACGTGGCCTTGGATTATGAAGGGGCTGGTGCACGTGCCTGGAGGCCAGGTCATGTCTGCACCTGCCCCAGCCGCTTGGCAGATTGGCAAGACAGGCTGGCAGGGTCTGTGTGTGGGAGGCAGCCAGCAGCAGCACCATGTGCTGCCGACCTCACAGCCACACTCCCCGTGGTTAGCACTTGAGTGTCAGAACCACCCCCGAACCTCAGTTAAGCAAAAGGCTTGGTTTCCTTGGAGACCCAGCATCCTTTTTCCATAGCAACCTGAAATCACAAAAACCAAGTTAGACTCAGGAATGAGTCATCTGTGACCGGTAGGGGGTGCTCTCCCACAAGGCTGACCCCTGATAGGTGGGAACAGATGAGCAAGTGACCACAGACTTGTTAAGGTGACTGAAGGGTGAGGCTTGGGCCTGTGGGAACTTTGTCCGCCCTGGTTAACCCCTCCCTACCCAGCTGCACGGGGTGAGGAGGCAGTGATAGGAAACACTGTGTGGAGGTAGTGCCCCACAGCTGGAGCCCCCAAAGTGATGCTAACACGGAGGGGTTCCCTGCCCCTCAAGACTGGACCAAGAACAGAGGAAGTGGACACTGGCCACACAGTGGACATACAAGAGTTAACTGGCGGGGTGTGACAGGGCGAACCGCCTTCAGGAAGTGTTACTCACCACCGCCAGGAATGTGCGTGCCTGTGCCTTGGGGGCTGGATTCTCTTCCTGAGTCCCAGAGAAGCGGGAGGAGCTCTTAGCCATGGAAGAACCTGGGGAGACAGAAGCACACCTGGGAGCCACCAACCTGAACTTTGTTCCTGGCCAACAACAGAAAGAAAAGTTAGTGAGTTTGGAAGGGCAGCCAGGTGTCGGGGAGGGGCAGTGATAGGAGGGTCTGGCATCGGCAGGGGAAAAGGGGAAGCCCAGAAGGGGGAAGGGGTGTACAATGTTCACACCAGACCCCTACTCAGGTCTGGATGTCCGCCCCCAGGCCAGCCCAGGACCCGCTGTATGACACACCTGACACCAGTGGGGCACAGGCAGGCGGGCCCCAGCAGCCAGCACGCATGGTGAGCCTGCGGGAGCGCCTGCTGCTCACCCGGCCCGTGTGGCTGCAGCTGCGGGCCAACGCTGCAGCCGCACTGCATGTACTGAGGACCGAGCCTCCAGGGGTGAGTCTAGCCCTATCTCCAGGGACTGGCCAGTGGAGAGTGGGAGGAAGGGGGGCTGGACACTGAGGTCCTAAGCCTCCTGATCTCTTCCATTTACAGACATTCCTGGTGCGGAAATCTAACACGAGCCAATGCCAGGCCCTGTGTGTGCGGCTGCCAGAAGCCAGCGGCCCCTCTTTCGTCTCCAGCTACTATATCCAAGAGAGCCCGGGCGGTGAGAGGGCTGGCCTGGTGGGAAGGGGCTGGAGAGAGGTGGGGGAGGGAGGTTCCCAGAGAACAGCCTCACTTCCCATGTCCCTCAGGAGTCTCTTTAGAGGGCTCAGAGTTCAGGTTCCCGGACCTCATCCAGCTGATCTGTGCCTATTGCCACACAAGGTAAGTCAGCCTGGTGACCACAGGGCCTGCTCTCTGGGCCTGCCCACCCTCTGTGCCTCAGCACCCCTTGATCCTAACTACTCCTTGCTCTCCACCTTAGGGACATCCTTCTTCTTCCACTCCGGCTTCCTAGAGCCATTGATCAGGCTACCACCCACAAGGAGTTGGAGGCCATCTCCCATCTGGGAATTGGTAAGGGTTCCCTGCAGCCCACTGCACAGATGGATACATGGAGGCCAAAGGGGAAACAGAGGACATTCACAAACCTTTTCTTGGTGGATACCCTCTTGAGCCAGCTCTGAGGCCTCTTTTGTTTTCTGATCCCCAGAATTCTGGAGTTCCTCCCTCAACACCAAGGTTCAGCCGAGGCCATCAGAAGCCCCACCAATACCCCGACTGAAGGCTCGCTCCCCTCAAGAGCTGGACCAGGGCACGGGTGCAGCCCTCTGCTTCTTCAACCCCCTGTTCCCTGGTGATCTGGGACCCACCAAGCGTGAGAAATTCCAGAAGAGCTTCAAAGTGCGTGTGTCCACAGAGACCTCCAGCCCTCTCTCTCCACCTGCTGTCCCTCCTCCCCCTGTCCCTGTGCTGCCAGGAACATCCCCCAGCCACACAGAAACGCTGCCTCCTCGCCAGCTACTGAGGAGGGAGAGCTCAGTGGGATACCGTGTGCCCGGAGGCGCTGCTGGACCCAGCCTTCCTCCCCTGCCTTCCCTCCAGGAGGTGGACTGTTGCTCCCCCAGCAGTTCCGAGGAGGAGGGGTCTTCAGGGAGCCCCACAACCTCCCCACACCTGGGCCGCCGGCGGAGACCTCTGCTCCGCTCCATGAGCTCTGCCTTCTGCTCTCTGCTGGCACCAGAGAGGCAAGTGGGTCGGGCAGCCACAGTGCTGATGCAAGACAGATACACAGCTGTGGGTCAGCTGGTGCAGGACCTCCTGACCCAGGTGCGGGCTGGTCCTGAGCCCCGGGAGCTGCAGGGCATCCGCCAGGCGCTGAGTAGGGCTCGAGCCATGCTGAGTGCAGAACTGAGCCCTGAGAAGCTGCTACCACCGGAGAGGCTGGGTAAGGCCCTGGCTGGCGGCCTACAAGCTCAGCTCCGGGCCCTCCATCCACCTCTCTCCTTGCCTTGCTTGCCTGTCTCCTGCCTCCTTGTTGTGGTTCTGCCTTCCCGGCCCTCTTTTTCTCGGTGCTGTTCCTCCCCCAACTCCTGTCTTGGTCAGGGTTCCCCCCTCTTCCAGGCCCCTTCCCCCTAACCCTGCCTGGCCCTCCTCTGGCAGAACCGGTCCTGGAGAAGTCGCTCCATCGCTCTGTACTCAAGCCTCTCCGACCCATCCTAGCTTCCCGCCTACGGCGCCGGCTTTCCACAGATGGTTCCCTTGGCCGCCTGGCTGAGGGTTTCCGCCTGGCCCGGACCCAGGGTCCTGGTGTCTTGGGATCCCACCTGAGCCCACCCTCAGTGGTGGAGATAGAACAGGTGCGTCAGAAGCTCCTGCAGCTGCTCCGTACCTACTCACCCAGCGCCCAGATCAAGCGGCTCCTGCAGGCCTGCAAGCTGCTCTACACAGCTCTGAGGACCCAGGCAGGTATGACCACACACCTCTCCTGCTCTGCTCTTTCTAAGGAGAAGCTGTCCCCCATTCCTGCCCCTCCACCCCACCCCCCACCCCCCAGGGAAAGGCTCCCAGATCCTAGACCTGCACACAGGGGAGAATGATCCAATTCTCCCATCCCAGAAGGCCCGAAAATAGTCTTCCCTGGACCCTTCTTGTGGTTGCTCTAACTGTCCCATCACCTAGGGACTGGCCGGCTGCGAAGGGGAGGGATCACTGTCTAGGACAGAGGATTGGACCCTCGCCTTTGGGCCTCTAAGGAGCCTGAAACTTCCTCTTCCATGTCCCCACAGGGGAGGATGCAGGCGCTGATGAGTTCCTGCCTTTGCTGAGCTTTGTTTTAGCTCAGTGTGACCTTCCTGACCTCCTTTTAGAAGCTGAGTACATGTCTGAGCTACTGGAGCCCACCCTGCTCACCGGAGAGGGTGAGGGTCCCCTCACTTTCCTGTCTGAGTAAACTGGGGGATCTTGGCTGCTCGTGGGCTTTGAGTAAGCAAGGAAGGGAAGGCAGGTGCCTGCCCCAGCCTAAGCTGTATTCTGTATTCTGTGTCACAGGGGGCTACTACCTGACCAGCCTATCGGCCAGCCTGGCATTACTGGGTAGCCTAGGCCAGGCCCACACTCTCCCCCTCAGCCCTGCACAGGAGCTCCAGCGTTCTCTGGCCCTCTGGGAACAGCGCCGCCTGCCAGCTACTCACAGTTTCCAGGTAATGGGGCCCTACCACATGTCTGCCCTGAACTAGCCTTGCTTTGTGGGACTCTGACATCATCTAGCACAGTCCCTCTAGTCCTGTATCACTCTACAATAGAATTAGAGGCCCATCTGAATATCAGAGCCAGGCCTTTGATGCTGGAGAGATGGTTCAAGAGTTAAGAGCTGTGGTTGAGAGCAGTGGCTGCTTTTCAGAGGACCCAAGTTCAGATCCCAACATCCATGTGGCTAAGTCCAGTTCCAGGGAATCTGATGCCCTCTTCTGACCTCTGCAGGTACTGCACATATGTGGTACACTTAGATACATGTACACAAAACCCTCATATACATAAAATTAAAAATAAATAAATCTGGGGCTGGAGAGATGGCTCAGCAGTTAAGGGCGCTGGCGGCTCTTCCAGAGGACCTGGGTTCAGTTTCCCAGCACCCACATGGTGGCTAACAACTGCCTGTAACTCCAGTTCCAGGGGATCCAACACCTTCTGGCCTCCATGAGCATTGCATGCATAGGTGCACTTATATACATGCAGGCAAAACACTCATGCACATAAAAATAAAAACAATTTTTTTTAATTTAAAAAATAAGCTGGGCATGGTGGCACACACCTTTAATCCTAGCACTCAGAAGGCAGAAGCAGGCAGATCTCTGTGAGTTTGAGGCCAGCCTGGTCTACATAGTGAGTTCAGGACAGCTGGGGCTACAGGGAGACCCTGTCTCAAAAAGACCAAAAAAAAAAGCAAAAAATAAAATCAGTCAATCAAATCCAAAAAAATTTGCCAAAGCAGGCCCAGGTTCTAATTCCTGTCCCCTAACCCCAGCCAAAGTTCTGCCCTCCCTGTCCTCAGGCTTCAACCCAGGTTCCCATTTGGGCCCTGACCCAGGTGTACCAACCCTGACCTTCAACTTTCACAACATTGCTCATGAATCCAGACTCTGCTGCTGGGTCCCAGGTTCATCCCAGCTCTACCACGTCTCATTTGTGTCAGTTTTCTCATCTGTAAATGGGCATCAGGGAGGGCTTCCTTGAAGATTAAGTGTATTGGTACCTATGGAGGCTAGTTAATGCCAGCCCCAGGAACAGTTGGGGAGAGAGCCTAGTGTAGCGTAATTCCCTCTTGAGCATCCTTTCAGGATTCTGCAGTTCCCTCTGGGCTGACCTTGTACCTACACTACCAGCCCAAACACATTTGTCCCCGCCCCCGTGTTCCCTTGGCGCTCATAAGGCTCGTGTCAGCTGGTTCCACTGTAGATGTGCACCACACCACCCTGTCCCTGCCCCTCCCTCTGCTTTGGAGATGCACACTAAGCAGAGCTGACGACTTTGCTTTGCTTCTTTTGCACAGCACCTCCTCCGAGTAGCTTACCAGGACCCCAGCACTGGTTGTACTTCCAAGACCCTGGCTGTGCCTCCAGGGTCTTCAATTGCCACCTTGAGCCAACTCTGTGCCACCAAGTTCCGAGTGACCCAGCCTGATGCATTTGGCCTCTTCCTCTACAAGGAGCAGGGCTACCACCGCCTGCCCCCTGGAGCCTTGGCCCATAGACTTCCTGCAACTGGCTACCTCGTATACCGCCGGGCAGAGCGGCCTGAGACTCAGGGGGCTGCAAGAGAGAAGACAGGGAGCAAAGAGGAGGAGAAAGGGGTCCGGAACAGTCAGGGAGAGTCTGAGACAACTGTTGGCCAAAGTGAGGGTCAGGCCACTGGAGGTCATGTGCAGCCAGGGAAGCAAGAGGCAGAAGGAGGCCAGGTAGCAGAAGAGTAGCCAGAAAGAGACAGAAGAATCATCTGGGGCAGGAGCCTCCAAGCCTTCAACGCCTGCTCTTTCCAGCCGCCCTCTGTTGTGTCTGCCACCACCTTGGACCTGTACTGATCTTCATGAGTCCACCTGCTGGGGAACAATGGAGTTGGCCACACAGAGAGACTAGAGCAAAGTTAAAGGGGTTAGGGAACTCCCAGGCTCTGTTCCGAGGCCCCTTGCCTCTGTTCTTCCCTAACCTGCAGGGATATGTGTGTCTAGTAAGGGACAAATCCATCTGATAGCCAATTTCTGGCATGGGAGGAGGATGGATGCCTTGGAGCTCCCCCTACCCATGGGCACAGACTGGGCTGCTGTAATTTCAAAGTCCTGAACTGGCCAGGTGTGGTGGTGCAGGCCTTTAATCCCAGCACTCGAGAGGCAGAGGCAGGTGGATCTTTGTGAGTTCAAGGCCAGCCTGGTCTATATAGCTAGTTCCAGCCAGCTGGGGCTACAGGGAGACCCTGTCTCAAAAAGACCAGAAAAAAAAAAAGTCCTGAACTGAGTGACCCCAACCTTTCCTGCTGTCAGAGGTTGAGGAGACAGCAGAGAGCAGAGTGACAGCAAAGGTTCCTAATTGAACAGCTCTTCCCAGTCTAAGCATTGTAGTTTGCAAAGAAGGGTTTTTAATTCTGCAGGTCTCCTGGAAGAGTTCCAGCATGTGCATGGATAGTTTGGCTGAAAAGCTCAGGCAGGGGGAAAGAAAGGAAAGGATGAGTGTCAGCAGCCATATATGCTCCCCTCTGAGAGTCTGCCCCTACCAAACAAATCTCTCATCTGTGGCTTCTTCCTCAGTCAGTCCAGAGATGGTTATTACCCTGTAAGTCAGGTCCCAGGGAAGAAGGCATCTGTGTTCCAGATTTCTTAAGATCAGAAGTCTGCCCAGGCACACCAGCATCTCTGGGAAACAGTACCCACCCATGGCAAGAAGATAAGTTTCCAGGATAGAGAGGGACCCTGAAAACATTTTCTTTACACCTGACTCTTTAGGCTCTCACAAAAGGATTGGTAGAGAAGCCAGACATAGCTTATGAGGTATAGGAAGGTGACACCCAAGATGTCATAACAAATCAGCCCTCAAAGCCAGGGCAGCCAGACCCAAAGGGAATCAGGCTGCAAAGCTAACCAGAGGAAAATGCCTGCTGTTAACCACGAGGGGGCATGCGCATCCCAGGAAGCTGCACAGGGTGACCCCTGGGGGAAGGTGAAGAGTCACTGGCTTTGTCATCAGACAGCCAGGGAGGTACAGGGCCCTGGCTACCAGCAGTTAAGAGATTCTTAGGAAAGAATTGTCCCCAGATGAATGAGGACCCCAGCCAGTCTGAAAAACACCAACTCAGATGTAAAATGACAACAGGGGAGGTACAAGTTGTGGACACTGACTTTAAGATCCACATCCAACCAGTGTAGGACTCTAAATTTCTCACTAGACCACTGAAATTCTTTCTCCCCACCTCTGTGCCCCTCAGCAGGGGGAACATGTGTCCAGTAAGGGACAAATCCAACTGATATCTAACTTCTGGCATGAGGGAGAGTGGTCCCAGCCCCTTTTACATCTCCCTCCACCAATGGGCACAGAACTGCTGGCACTTCAAGGCCCTGAACAACCTGGTGATAGGAAGCCCGTCTGTGTCCTCCTTCCCTCTCCAATGCCTTGTATAGTACTGAGCATTCTGTAGGTGCTCAATAAATGGTGTCCACTGACTAAAGCTTGAGAACTAGGAATGAGAGACCATGGAGGGAGAGGGAGGGTTGCTTTCTGGGAATGGGACACAGGATGTGTGGAGCACAGTCCCAGAGGAAGGACCTGGAATGTCTGCAGGAGGTGCTCCGAAAACCCCTGGAACTGGATATGGAATTGGTCTCGTGGGAACCAGGCCCCTGGGACCTCCACAGGCCCTTCCTGTGCTCAGCCTAATTCTGGGCTCCTAGAATTCATTGTGGCCTCAGCCATGACTCAAAGGGGCACTGCAAGGTCCTGCCAGCTGCCTGGCACTTTTGGTTTATCTGAGTGCCCAGAAATCCAGGCCAAATCAGTATAAACAGGGATCAGAATTCAAGGGTAGAGACTCCAGGCAGGGTAGGTGGTAACAGGCTGGTCTGAGACTGATGTTCCCGTTTTACAGATGAGGAACCTGAAGCTTGCTCTAGGAAAGTGGCTTGTTATAGGACAAAGGATTCATTCAAACAACAGGTTTTTCAGAGTTTCTAAAGCAGGAAGATTCATTTACTTGTCTTCCCAAAAATCTATCAGAGTCAGGCAAGGTGGTGCACGTTTGTAATCCCAGTACTTGGGAAGATGAGATGAAGATCAGGAGTTCGAGACATCCTTAGCAAGTTGGAAACCAGCCTGGGCTACATAGCAAGCCTGTCACAAAAAACAGGACAAAGAGCTGGAGAGATGGCTTAGCAGTTAAGAGCACCAGCTGCTCTTGCAAAAGACCTGAGTTTGGCTCCAGCATCCACATGGCAGCTAACAACCATCTGTAATTCCAGTTCCAAGGGATCTGATGCCCTCTTCTGGCCTTCTCAGGCAGCACGCATGCATGTGGTGCACTTACATACATGCAGACAAAACACTTGTACACATACATAGATTAAAAATCTATGGCGTGTTCAGTACAGATTATGCAGTAAGCATCCTCAGCAGGGATCTAGTTGGTAACTGAGAACCACTGTATTCCCTGCCAACTTCCTTGTCCTTCTAGAAGAAGTCAAGGCTCTTGAGATGTGACATGCCTGTCCAGTGTCCACTGTTTCAGGACAGAACTGGGACACTGACCTGCTGCTCAGATCTGTTTTGAAAGCAGCCAAGTCATTTCCTTGCTTGGAAATATTGCACTTACCATTTTAAAGTCACCCTAGTTGTATGTATGAGTTTGTTCATTGTCTGTCTCCCCCACTAGCGTGCCAGAGCCAAGCTGGCCTTGTTCCCAGCCAGCTCTCAAAAACCTAGAACAATGCCTGGGCTGGAATTGGCACTTAGTTAAAATATATCTGGAATCATGTAGAATGATGGATTTGGGAAGACTTCATCAAAACCAATCTCCTGTGTTCTTAGGGTGGCACATCCTTCATCACTACCACCAGGGGATGTGACACTTCATTTCAGTCCCATGCCAAGTGCTCTTCTCCCGAGGCCATCCCGGGAATGAATGCCCAGCTGATGGTAGGTGAAAAACAAGAATAATTTGAGAGACTCAGAAGGATGAGGAAAGAGCTGCCTGTCTCACGTTCTATGGCCAGGCTGGCCCCGAAACCGGGCGTATGGGATAGCCTTGAGGGGTGGAGTGGACAGCAGTCATTTTGAGACTCACTCAGACCCACCCTCATTATGTTTAACACCCCACTGTGGCCTTGAGACCCATGTTTACACCCACTTTTGAGCATACAGTTAACAAACACTCTGACTCACATTCCAATGCAAAGTGACACTGCCATCTGAGGCAGATACAAGAGTACCCCAGCACACCTGCCCCCCCAGTGTTAACAGGTACACTCTGACAGCAATCTGACCTACATGGGGACCAGTGGACACAGGCCAGTAGTGATTGGCTACACAGGAGCTTCCTGACACGGACCGACCGATGCAAAACTGTCACCAACACCCACGTCACCGCTCAGACACAGTTACACGCATGGTTTTGAGACACAGCAAAGCTTCCACTTCTTACAAGCCCATCTCCTGACTAATATCTCCCTGGAAACCTCGGTTTATCCCTGCCTCACTCCCCTTCAGCCCCTGGTGGGCCCCCTGAGGAGGCTATGAGTTGCTGGGAAGACCCCTGAGAGGGTGCGGCTATCTCACGAGCCAGGCAGGAGCTGTGGCAGGCAGGCTGGGCGGGGCAGCTTGAGCTCATCAGATTCCAGCCGGCCTGATTCACAGGAAGAGCTACAAGCATCAAGGATGGGGAGGGGCACTGCCCCAGGAGCTGGGGCTCCAGGGTGAGGGGAGGGGACCTGGTTGAGCTTTGGACCCACAGGTCGTGGGCCCAGTGCAAATTTCATGTCCAGGACTTGGGGGTTTCAGAAAGGGGTGGCCCAGCCTGAAGGGGTGCCCTCTGGGCGAGGCTCCTCGGAGGGGCTTAGGTCCCTTAGTTGAGCTGTGGGATGAGACAATCAGGCCCCGCCTGCCCGGCCGGGACCCCACGCCTTCCAGGCCCCAGCAGCTGGGTGTCTTTAGCAGGGGTTAGCGAAAGAGTGGGGGCGGGAGCAGGGGGAGGTGACCTTCACAGTCCGTCTTGGACCTTCTGGCCTCGGGCTGGGCAGTGTGCTGGTGGACTCCAGAGGTCCCGAGAGGCAGGGCCTGCCTGACCCCATTGCACGGGGCCTACAGGGTTACAGACCCATACTGCCCTGCCAGGCGAAGCCTCTGCCAGAGAAAGAGGATTGCATGGGCTGCCCTGCGCCAGGGGCCAGGGATGTGTTCTTGCTGAGAGCCAGTCTTTTGTTCCTGCCATCCCCAGAACCCGCAGTGTCCCCTGATTAAGGGACGCTCCCGGGAGGTGCGCCCCCCCCAACCCCCTGCCTAGACCTAGCTGCGGGGTGACGGGAAGAAAGGATGGGCCTGGGGACAGGGTGAGGGTACAGGAAGTGTCTTTCTTGGAACTCTGCACCAAAATAGCCCATTCCATCCCTACTCTGGGTCTGGTGTCCCACGGGGGGAGGTGTGTGTGTCACCAAGGAGACCCTCATGGGGAGGAGCTTGATCTGACCTTAGTCTGGCTTTTGCTCACCAGCCCCCTCCACCCCCACCCACCCCCACCGCAGCCTAGGCTCCACTTTGAAGTCCTAACGTAAATATAATGTCTGCTTGGGTTCTCTTTCCGGGCCTGGTCACAGCCCCCAGACCTGGCTTCCACCCCAACCAGCCCTCAGGGTGCTGTGGGGAGAGAAAGGAGGGAAACCGGACCACCCAGGGAAGGTGGCAAGCCAGAGACACTTTTCGGAGATTGGGAGACAGGAGAGATGGAAAGCAGAGGGACAGTGAGAGGAGTAAAACAGACCCCAGACCAACAAGGGCTAGAAGGTAGATAGAACCCCCTAAGGTCAAGAGAGGGAGAGGGAGAAAGAGAGACAGACAGAGACGGGGGGGGGGGGGGGGGGGGGGGGGGGGAGGGAGAGAGGGGAGGGGGGGGGGGGGGGGGGAGAGAGAGAGAGAGAGAGAGAGAGAGGAATAGAGGGGAAGAGACTGAGAGGCAGAAATCCTTGGGGACTCTGAGGGGGCAGAAAGAAGAGAAAAGTAAGTGCCTTTGGAGAACATTCCAGAGGTGGGGTGGGGCAAAGGTGGAGTTGGCTGGGACTAGGGTAAGCTGGGAAGGCTGTAGTGCAGACTTGTGGGACCAACTACCTGTTTACCCAGGTCTGATGCGGCAGGGAAGGGGGTGCTGAGGTCCTAGGAGTTGGGACTGAAATTAGAAAGTTCTCATCAAACTGGGACAAGTTGATCCTGCCTGGAGGGTCTGCTCCCACAGATGCCGCTTGCACACAGCCTTTCAAAAGGGCCCTCTGTACACTAGGGGCACGCCTGGCCCCTTCTAGCTTAGACACAGCCTCCAGGATTCCTGTTTTGAGGGCAGATGTGGCCAAATGTTCAGGTCCGGCATCTGTTAGGAGAGGGAGCTGGGCTCCCAGCTGGGCCCAGGCTGGGCAATCCAAGGGGAACCAAATACTTCATTCTCACAGCTGTGGGCACAGGTGTGGACTTGCTGAGACATCCAGCTGTGCACATCCACAGCCATGCCAGGGCTGTGCAAACACATGTATACACACACACACACAGGCACACATGCAAGGGCACGGTCCTGTAACCACACACACAGGTCTTCATGACAAAGGTCCCACCCTACCCTCAGCTACCCCCAGCTGTCAGAATTCTTTGGCTTCAGTGATGCTGAAGGAACACCACCCTTCTTCCCAGTTCCAGTTCTCCAGACCTCCCTCTCCCACCCATCCTGTCCCCAGCAACATAACCCCCTCCCTGAAGGGCTCTCCCTCTAGAAGCACATAGGGTGTGGCCCCAACAGTGGGGAGGAGGGGAAACTGCAATTGTACCC